GCGCTGATGAGATCCAAAAAGATCGAAATCGCGATCCGCGTCTGGCAGTTTCGACAGAATACAGACCACTTCGAATTATTTTATTCGATTATAGTAACGTGCCTATCACGTTGAGGTTAGCTACGCCGGGATTCGTTTCAGCAAGTAGATATCCATATATTTAAATGGACCTTGTTGAAGCATACGTAATCCTAAAATGTAGCACTGTACTACAGATGGCGTTTACCGCGCCATTTGTGGTATTTTCTAAATAACAGACGTTTCAGTTTATCCGCATCTCTAGAAATAGCAGAAGGAAAGATATAATGCCGCAAAGTCATTAATCTTTAACTAAATTACTTAAATTAGATTGTAATCTTTTCGTTGAAAACTACAGTGTCTTTTTATCATTTTGTATAGTTGATCGTACTCCCCGTCCCAAATCGCCTTCCGGTGTTTCTCATGTCTGTGAAATTGTCCAATATAACAGGCCAGAAATGAAGCATGAAGAATGGAAACCGGTTCATCTCGAAGGTGATACGTTTTCACCAATTATAATAGTAGTGGCGGATCTAAAACATTCAGCATCAAGCCCCCGATATATTCGAGTTATGTATTTCTTCTAAAAATTGCGGGCTATTTAAAAATTTTAATATTTGACTTTTATTATTTCATGGATCGGAACCTTCAATAAAAGTTATAAATGGGGTCACGAATGTACAAGATCCGCCACCATGTTAAAAACAAATTTTAATTTGTATTATATACAAACGCAGTAGGGTGAATGAGAAGTGACAATGTATTTTGACGAAAATATGTTTTGCAAAACAAAGGAAATGATTCATACGTAAGGATCCTTTTTAACCAATTTTGAAGTTTAAACGCCTAATAGTGATAAGTAAAATTGGTCTAGGTAATTTCAATTGATTTTTAATGAATTTAAAATACAACTGGAGACGGCGTGTATGACGGTCGCCCTAGGCCCCAGGTACTTCGGTGGTAATGATGAAAAAAATTGGTGTTAGTCTTGCTCTTGAGAAAATGTAAGGTCAAGACCAACTCCAAGACTGTCTTTATACTAGCAAGATCGAACGAAAAAGAGCACGACTAAACTAAGACTGAACAAATAAGACCAAAACTAACACCAAGACCAAATACGCAAGGGAGAACGATGAATTTATAAGTTAAAGTTAAACTACTTTTATTTAAAGCAACTTTAATATGTTATTTTCTTGGAACAAAACATTTTCAGTATTTGAATTTTTTAGTTTGGTTTACTAAATTTTAACGCTAAATATAAAAAAGATTGTAGTCTAGGAGCCGGTGACATTTAAAGTATTGTCATCACGGAAAAAAATTAATATTTAACAAAATGGCCTTGGTACGCGTTAATTTACTTTTCCTAAAGTGGATAAAAAAAAAGAAAAAATGTTTTACCATCATCGCGAATTTTAAAGAATTGGCTTACCAATTTTTTTTAACCGAAAAAGTTTGAAAGGGTAAAATTTCACCATTATCGCGTAGACACTTTTGTTTTAATTTTACGCGTTTCAATGTACTTAACAAAAATATTTTGGTATGCATGTTTAAAAACTACAGGAAGTATCTGGCTTACCAATTCTGATCCATTGGCTTCATTTACATCAACTATAAAAATCACAAGGTTCAATAATTTTATTTTGCATCAAATACTTCTACGAAATTAATATTATATAATTGTTTAAAATATTAATTATTTTTAAAATTTAAATAAACTAAAAGAATTATTTTACTTAATTCCTTTTTGTCGTATTTATCCTCATGAATGTTTACTCTAAAATAAAATTATTGAACTTGGTGATTTTTATAATTGATGTAAAGGAAGCCGATGAAATAGAATTGGTATACCAGATACTTCCTGTAACTTTTAAACATGCATACCAAGATATTTTTGTTAATCGCTTTAAAACAAGTGTAAGCGGTAATGGTGAAATTTTACCCTCTTTCACACCCTTTAACTAGGTATGTTACGCCCTTTGGCTAAAAAAAATTGGTAATTAACAAATTTCCTATCGAATACAGTACAATTATTTAAAATTCGCGATGATGGTAAAACATTTTTTCTATTTTATTATAAACTAAATTTTCCCCGCGGCTTCGCTCGCAGAAATTAATATTGTTTTTCCATTAAACCTTTTAATTCCCAATTCACCCTTACAACGTTTTAATTTTATGTAATGTCGTCATCTTAGATTCCAAATACAAACGTAGCAACAACATTTCATCCTTAAGGGTTGATTTTTAAAGATTGCCAAAAGACGTAGTTGCTTAATTTCAACAATGAGCAACCTTCGAGTAAATCCGAGTACAAATAAAATAAACCCCATGGAAACGTTGCAACCTCTTTCCATTTGATTAATAATATCAAACGGCATATGTACCAAGTTTCAAGTAAATTTAACAACAAATGAAGTATGTCCCAAACTAAAATTGCAACACCCCCCCCCCCCTTTGGAGGTTGAATTGTTTAAAATGTGAGAGACCATTAAGACCAAGTTTCAAGTAAATCTGACGACAAATAATATATGTTCCATTTAAACATTACAACTCCTCTTTACCACTCCTCCCCCCCACGGGAACAGGATAAAAAGTATCCTATATCCGTCTCCTGGTTGTAAGCTACCTCCCCACTAGTTTCAGTCAAATCGGTTTAGCCGTTCTTGAGTTATAAATAGTGTAACTAACACGACTTTCTTTTATATATGTACGAGGGTGGATTGATAAGTTTCCGGCCTAACCAAGAGATGACGCCACTAGGCCTACCTTGAGGTGACATTCTATAGTACCATCCTTGGATAGCTTNAAATGTGAGAGACCATTAAGACCAAGTTTCAAGTAAATCTGACGACAAATAATATATGTTCCATTTAAACATTACAACTCCTCTTTACCACTCCTCCCCCCCACGGGAACAGGATAAAAAGTATCCTATATCCGTCTCCTGGTTGTAAGCTACCTCCCCACTAGTTTCAGTCAAATCGGTTTAGCCGTTCTTGAGTTATAAATAGTGTAACTAACACGACTTTCTTTTATATATGTACGAGGGTGGATTGATAAGTTTCCGGCCTAACCAAGAGATGACGCCACTAGGCCTACCTTGAGGTGACATTCTATAGTACCATCCTTGGATAGCTTGTAGCTATAGTTTCAGCCCGATCTCCTTGCTAGTGTAGGTTTGACAGCACGCTGAACAAGACGCCTCTGTGGTTTTCGTAAAAATGGAAAAGCAGGAAAATCGTGCTGTCATCAAATACTTTTATTTGAAGGGGTTAACGCCGAAGGAAATTAAAAAAGAGATGGACTCAACACTGGGGACATCCTCCCCGTCATATTCAACCGTTAAGCAGTGGGTTTCCGAGTTTAAAAAGGGTCGTGTGAGCACCTCTGATGGGCCTCGCTCAGGACGCCCCGTTGAGGTCACAACTCCAGATATGATCGAAAAAATTCATCAAATAGTGCTGGGAGACCGCAGATTGAAAGTGCGTGAGATAGCTGAGACCTGTAAGATGTCATATGAACGTGTGCAACATATTTTGCACCAACATTTGCATATGGAAAAGCTCTGTGCAAGATGGGTGCCGCGTTTGCTAACAGTCGACCAAAAATTGATTCGAAAAAACATTTCTACCGCAAATTTGTCATTGTATAAGCGTAATCCAAGCGAATTTTTGCGTCGATTCGTAACCGTTGACGAAACGTGGGTCCACCACTACACTCCTGAAACCAAAGAACAGTCTAAACAGTGGATTGGACCAGGGGAACCAACTCCAAAGAAGGCAAAAACAATTTTTTCGGCGAACAAGGTTATGGCTACTGTTTTTTGGGATGCAAGAGGTATTATATACATTGATTACCTTGCAAAGGGTAATACTATCACTGGTCAATACTACGCAGACTTATTGCAACGTTTGAGCCACGAGGTGAAAATTAAACGACCTCATCTGGCGAAGAAAAAAATCTTGTTTCATCACGATAACGCACCAGCGCACACGTCAATCGTTGCGACGGCTAAAATCAACGATCTAAAGTTTGAATTGATGCCGCACCCTCCTTACTCTCCAGACCTAGCCCCGAGTGACTATTTTCTGTTCCCTAATCTCAAAAAATGGCTTGGCGGTAAGAGATTTGCGGACAATGAAGAAGTAATCGAAGCTGTAAATGGTTATTTTGAGGAGCTTGACGAATCAGTCTATAGAGATGGCATTAATAGACTGGAACACCGCTATGAGAAATGTATCAGCCTTGGAGGAGATTATGTTGAGAAATAAAAAAAAAAAATTTTTAAAAACCTTGTTTTTCTTGGTCAGGCCGGAAACTTATCAATCCACCCTCGTATATAGATTAATTTTTTTTAATATGCTAAGTAAATTAACGCGTACCAAGGCGATTTTGTTCGTATAATTGTCAATTATCAATTTTTCAAAAATATTAAAATTCCGGGGTGACGGTACTTTCAATGTCACCGGCTCCTCGCCTATTGAAAAAAGGGTCTACAAGGATGTCCTGAGACCAAGTGTTCTTTGTTCCTATATGTTGAAATATAGAGATAAACTATTTTTTTTCGATATTTATGCCTTGGATTGTATCTGGATCCGATTAGCTGTATAAAATTCGAAGGTTCTCTGCTTTTTATTTCCTCGACCGGCAGCGAAAACATAAAATTTAGAAGCAAATTCTTTTGAACGTTTTGGTCCGCCCAGTAGATAATTTTGACGGACGAAGTGACAAAAATTCGGAAATTACACAGTGGGCAGTGTTAAAAAGTAATTTTGCTGTCTAATTAACACTTTTTTTACTGGCAAAATTTCAGTTATGAATTTTAATACCTTGCAAACGGTGCAACGTTTTCAAAATGTGAGTATTAACCAATAAAAGCCACAGTGAATCCTATTTAATTTGTAAGTTTGCAAACTTTTATTAAAATTTCTATTTTCAGCTTCTACGACCATTTAGACAGTTTGGAAAGTGTACTTCGTTATGTCACTATATAAAGGGATTTAAATGTAATCAAGCAAAATTACCAGTGATTGTCGGGAATGCCCACAAAAGTATCGACAATCCAATTATAGAATACCCCAATTTCATCAACTTAATCGAAAAATTATTTGTTACGATAAATTCAACGGCAAATAATCATCAAACTCGACATTACGTCATCCAGCGTAAAACCAGTTCCAAAGAAAAAACGAAAAAAGTTGCATACGCCACCAAAACCTGCCAAAAATTAATTCAGTTCAAGAAGAAAACCAAACACAAAACGTTTTCGCATTCCGTTTTTGACAAACATGTTTTACTATTAAAAAGAAACTCAACATCGAAAGACAACACAGCTGTCTCAAAGAAGCCAATGATTCCAAACAGTCTGAAGAACCTGATGCTGAAAAGAGTGACAAACCTTTTACTGACACCAAATTCTTTTCATAGGGAACACGAATTACTTTCTGCAGCTAGACATGAACCCTCTGTACGTTTGACGTCCTCTTGGGCTTTCACAAAATATACGAAAAATAGAAGATCGTCACTCCAAGCGCAAAAATTAAGTAGCAAACAAGAAACTGTAGAAAAGGCTCCGAAAACAGATCTCCAAGGGTCGGAACAGAATAAACCCAACAGCCAACTTATTATTAGACAGAATGTAGACCTAATCCCTTTAACACATGTAAAAGAAATTGAAGACTCAATACCAACTGTAAATGCGTTAACTAAAGACGAAATCCAAAAACAGAAAATCACCACAAAATCTTTGGAAACAAATGCACCTCCAAAAGGCGAAGAGCCAGTAAGACCTTCACAAAAAAAAGTGATTAATAACAAAACTAGTAAACCAGTGAACTCTAAAACGTCCCAACGATCAGGAATCCACTCAATGAATCCCTACACTAGCAACGTTTCTGTAACTAATGCGATCATCTCTAAAATAAACGAATCAAAAAATAGGTCAGCCAACATAAAATTTCCCTCAAGACACAGTGCAGTTTCTTCCCCGCGCAAACTCAATATCGATACACTTGTACGTAAAGAATTTAAAAGGGAAGAAAAATTGAGCGATTCTGACCTAACTAAACTCATAACTGTTTCGAACAGGAGCAAAGTCTTTGAAACCGCCAATAATCTAGAGGTCAATTCCAAAGAAATTCTCAGGAACTTTGCCAAATCACAGTCGCAAAAATTAGTCGAGCACAGGAGGCACCAGGACACCGAAATTAAACAGAATCAATGGAAAACGTTACCAACAAGATGTCAATATGTTACCGATGCTTCAAACCAGTTTAAAACATTCACGGAAACAAAAAAAGTTACAAATACCTCCTTATCGGTACTATCAGGGGATAAGTTGGGAAGTAACAGCATTCTAGCCAAAGAAAAAACGAAACCTTGCTTCGGAGGAAAACATAGCTCAACATGGTCAAAGACACACCAGTCGAACAAATTCACTATCAAACATGACTGCAAAAAATTTAGTCTGCTACATTGGAGACAGAAAAAGTGCGGACGTGACGATAAACAATCATGCATGATAAAAGATCATTCAAGGGTTAACAAACGTAACTTTCTCAATATATTGGCATATATTTTTAATCAACTTCACTTTTTTTTGACGTGACAGCGTCTTATAATTCGATGGAGCGGGCTGCACGCACGAAAAAACATGACTCATGCGGCGTTACCTCGCTCTGAGGCGTTCCATTTAAGGCTTGAAGTGCAAGCGAGAGCGCGGAACGAGCGACAAAGAGGCACAATCGGCCTCCGCGTTCGGCAGCGTTCGACATCTGTCTCTCTCCTACTTGAGTGAGCGATGCGTCCGCGTGGACAGCTGCTATACAATAATACATTTCCATTTACCTCCTTCTCTATATCCATACAAAATATCTATCAAACGAATAAAATTAAAATTTTCTTTTGAAAAATGAAACCATTCCATCAGTATTTTCTTATGACGTTGTCACGTTCAACTATCGTCAGTAAACCGACTTTACAGACAACCGATTTTTTTTACAGAACAAGAACAGTCCTGTCCGAGATGTCAAAACCCCACCCCTTGTTGTCCACCCCCAAACCCATGCGACCTCCCCGCGCTGACCCCCAAAAAGAAAAACGATAAATTGTCAAGCTGGCACAACCAAAGTGGTGACGTAATGCAATATGGGCTCACGCCAAAACACAAAGGTCAAATTAACCCCATGTCCCTCTTTTTCTTATTAATCACCAACTTCTTCGTTACAATAGAAGAAGAAGCTTTAAAAGGTCGATGTTGTCCTTCACCTGACCCATGTTCACCTCCACCACTAACCCCTGTAAAAAAGAAAAGGTACTCCACATCGGCTTGCAATCCAGGAAAGACCCTTAGCAACGTTTCACCACCGTTGCCATCACCAAAACCTGATGATGTTGTAGAATTATTGACCATGGTCGTTCCTGTTACGAAAGGCATTCCTTCCAGTGGAGTCCAGAATAGATCGTCGTCTGAGAAGTCCAATTTATCGAATAGCAACACCAAAATTCCACCTGTACCATCACACGAAACCACAGAACTGGGAAACGACCAATGGTTATCCAAATTTAAATTTACATTTCCTCGGAGGTTGAAGAATATAAGAAGCATTTCAGCTTTAAATTTGACAGAAGAAAGCAATGTGAAAACGAAAAGCGAACCTACTCACCCGTTGAGGAATCTAATGCAATACGGACTCGTTCCGAAAAAGAAGTCTCAGAAAAACGAAATCAAAGACACGAAAAATGATCTCCTTTCTCTCGACCCTTCGAAGTCCTACAATACGTACTTCAGAAAGATATTATCGTTCGAAGATATATCAACATCAGGAAAGACACGTCCCAAAAAACGAAGATCATTCTTGAAAATTCCAGCATATTCGAAATCCAATCCTGATCTGTCTACCATGAAATCGAACAATTTAAAAAATGGTACATCGAAGACTCCCATCAAGGAGCTTACCAATATTGATGATGTGATAAAGAAACTCACTACAAAACATCCTCGAATTTATGATCGAAAACTCAATATCGATGGTATCTTTGAAACCGCACGGGACGATCCGCCTGCAATATCACCAGCATTTACAGAGAAAGTTTTAAAGAGGACAGAAGTGGCTCATCCGATACCACAAACTATTCCAACCAACAGGCGTCCCGTGGTTATAAAAGCTCTTGTCGGTCAATCCAACAAGGTTGAAAAATCGACAGGCTCTAATCCATCCCTTTCCGTGACTAGCTGGAGAAGCGTAAGTGCCCCGTCACTGAATTCGTTCAACGTAAACCTCTGCATATGCCGATATATAAGTTCGAAACCAAAAGACAACAATTTGATCACTTCCAAATCCGAAATAATAATTCGAAAAGACACCCTGTGTAAAGGAGGTGACTTCGAACTGAGGGAAAATTATGCCTCCAACTGTAATTGTAATACAAAACCTCCAAACAAACCCAAACGTAAGTTTAAGTCTTTTACTATTTATACATATAATCCACCAAATATCATCATCATAAGGTCGTCAGTCCTAAGACTGGTTGGTTAGGCACCTCCACTCCTTTCCTATCATGAGCTAATCTTCCCATAAGTATTTGCAAACAGTAATCTAATCTAGGCTAACCCCTACCCCTCTTAACTCGCCTTTCTGACTCTAATATGTCTCTGTCTAAACCTTCATGAGAAGGTGTCCTACCAACCTAATTCACCTATTTCTTATTGACTTCAATAGAGTCCTCTATTTTCCTATCTTTTCTAATAGCTCTTCATTTCTAACCTTCTTTATCCTCTTCTGTATCCTCATCATCCGTCTGTAACACCACATTTCGAAGGCTTCTAACCTTTTCTTTTCCGCAGCGCCCACCGTCCATGTTTCGCGCCCGTTCCAAACATACACCTTTAACAATCTTTTTTTATATTAATTTGAAATCATTTTTTCGAGTTTTTATTTACCCACTACAAACTACCTCAAATCAATGAGGGAAAAATTGTTGCTGTTGTCACACCCCCGCCGGGAATCGAACCCGGGACCTTTGGCTTTACGCACCAACGTTCTACCACTAAACTACGAGAGGTGACAACTGCAACCACGACCAACCTTGAAGGTGTTAAAAACAGTGGCATAATATGCCAAAAAGTACTACAGTTGTAAAAAATTTGTACTTCCTGTACTTCCCCACAATTAAGGGCGAACCATCGGTTTCATTTTGGAGTAATATTTTACGTTTTCACCCTGATTAGCTCAGAGTCTTCATTCATTGTTGAACATGGGGATGATATGGAAACTGTAATGTATATTCTAGAAATTTATTCATCCATTCATTGGAAGGTTAAAATTTAAATCCGTTTTCATCTCATACCCCCTGTGTGTACCTACATATGTCTCTATGATATGTAAATACAGATTTAGCTTATTTCTCCAGAGAAATCGCTGATACTGCTCATTTAAACTACAAGCTGCTCAGTATCGATTATTATTGGTGTAGCTTATTTGCTACCTAGTTGGAGAAATATTGTCGTTTTCGAAAGTACCTTACGTTGACGAAAAACGTTTGTCTTTACGTTTATTGAATTCACGCGTCAAAAGAATGAAATAAGAANAATTAATTACATATTAATCCACTATTAAGTAACTAACAATCTCATAGAATAATCTTTTTCTAATTTCTAAATTAATCGTTCGCGATCATAGAAGTGACTTCATTTTATTAAAGGCGACCCGACCCTGTGCTATCCTCTGCTTTATATCCCTACTACTCCTTCCGTCCTGACTTATCTGACTTCCTACATACCTAAAATCAGCCAAATAGAGAAACAAATAATCTGAATTCATTATTTGTAGCCGATAAGGAGAATCAGTTTGGCCTACGACCAGCGAAGTTGACAAAAAAGGAGAGTGATAGATTGGGAACTTGTTCAGCGTGCACTTCACAAAAACCGAAAGGTAATTCGTGCGACAACCATACCTTAAATTTACTGTATTTACGTGATTTCTGTTGTGCAGAAAGAACTGATCCTAAATGTCGTAATCGAACTTCAGGCTCTGTCATACAAATAAACATCAAAGCTCAGATGGAACAATCCAAATCAGGTAATATTCATGCTGTGACCACATGTGAATTGGACTGTCACTATTGTTCAAAACTTCTAATACAAAAACCTCGCAATTTTAAATAATCTGCATAAGGTAAAAGGCCCAGTTTCTGACACTCTAAGAGTGACACCTGAGATTATATTACGATAACTATAATAATATTTAATTAGAATAAATAATTTTTATACTATAAACAAGTTCAGAGTTTCTAGAAAAACTCATATACGCGATATAATTATTTGAAGCGAATTAGTAATTTTAATTAATGATTTAAAAAGTGATGTTTGAAGACCCAGTTTCTGACACTTAAAATTTCTTGTGTTGTAGTTTCTGACACTGCCATCGGCCTAGTTTCTGACACTCATATTTGGTAATGATTCTCTCTCGGTTAAATTATGTATTATCAGGTTTAAATAAACTATAAGTAATTAAGTAT